TAGGCACTGGATTTAGGGAAAAGTCCTAGATGCAGGTGACCTTAGCTCAAGTTCCCCAAGTGCTTCATCAGAGATCCTGTGTGACCCTAATTAAGGTCATATTCATAGATAATGGGAGTTCGAACTTGGATATAGTTGTTGGGTAGACTTAAATCATTATGGGTAGCTTCCTATTTATTTTCTTTCCTTGTGTGAAGGCCTTTATTAGTTCTTTCCCTCTAGAATTTATTCTAAAATTGGAATTTCCAATTTGTCACTCATTTTACTGCCCCTGAAAATATATATAAAGGGCTTTTAAAAAATGGAAAATTGAGAATTATTTTGCTAATGGTTAATAAGATACATTAGTGCATTAAACATCAATTTGGGGTAAATTTAACCAGTTACATAGCCTTACAAATTAGAGTATTGATTCCTAACCCCTGCTTCTCAAATTTCATTTAGGGTGTTAACTGGCAGGCATATTGTCCTTTGCCATCTCATTTGCTTACTATTACTACATGTAGAAGTTCTTCTACATGCATAGTTACTCCTGATACTGCCTTTAGAGGCACTGTTGTGTGTAATTGAAGGCAGAGTAAAAAGTATCCAGTGAATATTTTGGTTCTCTTCAGATTCCATTGGGTCAACCCCATTTCATTGAATCTCAATACCAACCAGAAGATGACAGTCTCCCTTCTCACATTTCATCGTAATGGTCCAAGCTAGGCAGCAAAGTGATGAGAGGGAGCCTATAGGGAAAAGCAGAGTGTTAGAAAATCTTACTGCCTCTTCAAATACCAAATGCTCTCTTCCACTCCACACACATCATTTCATTTAATTCTTTCAGCAACCTTACGTTTACTTTACAGTTGAGGGAAGTGGCTACTTAGATTACATGTTACAGTTTGCCAAGTATCAGACTTTCCAAGAAGTAGAATCATATCTGTAATCCAGTCTGAATCCAGTCCCCAAGTTCAACTTACTTCTCTATTCTACTTTGTAAAGTGACAGTTAATGAATAACACTCACGGGCCATTTATCATGCTAAATTACTTTGTTAACTCATTTAAACTTGACAACATTTGTGTTATCTAGTGAGTGTTACCTCCATGTAGTCACTAAGACAATTAAGACTTGGAAAGATAGAGCAACTTTCCTTGCTGACTCCGGATCATATACTTTTTCTGATGATCGGAACCTCAGACCAAAATCTCAGGTGGAGAAAGGATCACAGGGAGGGACAAGAAGATACAGGAGGGAAGAAAGAAGAAACAAGAAAGGAGGAGATTACCATAATGACAGCCTGCACAGTGCTGTCTTCCTGCAGGCGATGCAAAGTATCGCTTAGATTGGCAACCAGAAGACCAAGGGCAGCAGAAACAAGAGTGCTGTGCAAATTGGAAAGTTAGAAGGGAACGAGAGAGTGTGAGATAAAGTGTCTTTGAGCAGTCGGACTTAGAAAATACAAAAAGACAAACAAAGAAGGCAAAACTGAGCGGAGAGAAAGCTTGTTATGTACTTAGAGGTGCAAGTGGAGGAGATGGTAGAGAAGATCTGGTGGGTGATAGACATGAGAAGGAGATTGACCTCTCCTTCTAGGAATAAAAATGTAGAATAGGAATTTAGGGGATTTGCCTTGATGGAAAGTCAGAACACCATTTCCATTCAAAGAGAAGGAGGAAATGGTCAAATGGTTGCCAATGGATATTTAGATCCAGCAGAGGGTAGGGACTGGGTTGGGAGCAGGAAGGTGAGAGTTTAGTTTCATTGGTCTTTGCAACATCTGAGGCTAAGACCATTTGCTGAGTGTCAGAAAGGATAGGGATTTGTGATCATGGTGAGAACAAAATATAGAGAACCAGCAAACCACCCTGTTAGGAATGAACTCTGTAATGCATAAATCGCCTTATGATTTAACATAGCGAATGCTAACGTTAGAATTACATACCAGGCCGGCACCACGGCTCACTTGGCTAATCCTCCGTCTGTGGCACTGGCACCCCACGTCCTAGTCCTGGTCGGGGCGCCGGATTCTGTCCCAGTTGCTCCTCTTCCACTCCAGCTCTCTGCTGTGGCCCAGGAAGGCAGTGGACGATAGCCCAGGTCCATGGGCCCTGCACCCCATGGGAGACCAGGAGCAGGCACCTGCTTCCTGGCTTCGGATCAGCGCAGCGCACCGGCCGCAAGGCACTGGCCGTAGCGGCCACTTTGGGGGGTGAACGAATGGAAGGAAGACCTTTAGCTCTGTCTCTCTCTCTCTCTCTCTCTCACTGTCTAACTCTGCCTGTCAAAAAAAAAAAAAAAAAAAAAAAGAATTCCAGACCATACTATGGCTCAAAGTCAAGTGTCTCCAGAAGCAAAAATGTTTTTTTTAAAGTGAACACCTCTTTCCATCTACACACAGATGCCTCAGAATTTAAATAGCCTTCACAGAACAGCAGTCTGCCAGTTATTCTCCTCCATAATAATTTACATTCCTGTTGCATCTGTATTAATTATTTTTTTCTACACAGTGTTATCTTGGCAGTCCCTAAAAAGTATAAAGAATTTGTGTTTTCTTCAACAACATGGGCCAATCCATTTCAATGTATCTGTGCTATGGAAATGCTAAATAGACTACCTAGAAACAAGACAGACTGCAAAATGCATGATTGTAGGTCAGAGGATAGGAAAATCAAGGCTGAACCTTCTTTTTTTTTAAAAAAGATTTATTTTATTTTATTTGAAAGACAGAGTTACAGAGAGAGGTAGAGACAGAGAGAGAGGTCTTCCATCCACTGGTTCACTCCCCAGATGGACACAATGGCTGGAGCTGTGCTGATCCAAAGCCAGAAGCCAGGAGCTTCCTCCAGGTCTCCCACGTGGGTGCAGGGGCCCAAGGACTTGGGCCATCTTCTGCTATCCCAGTCCACAGCAGAGAGCTGGATCAGAAGACGGGCAGCCAAGACTAGAACTGGCGCGCATATGGGATGCCAGTGCTTCAGGCCAGGGTGTTAACCCGCTGAGCCACAGCGCTGGCCCCAAGGCTGATCCCTCTTAAGACCTTACTGAAGGAGTGTACCAAGATCATCATGGTCATATGAGCTATCTTTGTTTCTAGAAAAATATTGTTCATGAACAGAGTAAGTTCAAGACATGCTTCTTGAGAAAGTTGTTATGGAGAGCCAAGTTGGAATGTAGAGGACAACATAGGGTGAAATGCAACCATCTTATAGTAAAAATACTAACCCTAAAGATCTGTCCCAGGTCTAAATAGTTGGTCCTAGTGCACATTGTGTTTATAATCAGCAGAGGTACTTTGTTCTTTGCATAAGTTCTAGTGAGTTAGCTCTGGAAGGCACAATAATATTAACTGTCCAGGTTCCCCCTCCCTGTCAGCTCAGCTCAACTGGAACCTCCCTTTCTACCTGGAAGAGAGCAGAGGACCAGGTCTAGTCCTTGTGTAGTAAGAGGGGGGAAGGGCACGGATCATTTGGAAATCTTCCAGCACTGAGGCGCTACACTAATCTGACATCGGTTTCTTCAATAGAAATGTTTAAGCGGCAAGAAAATACGCTATGTTTTTTGGCAATCAGCAGATCAGATAGAAGAGTCTAGCAATACAACGAGGATGTGTAATCTGACGTGATTAGACAAGGCTCTTTAGTACCAGAACATTCATAATTGAGACAAAGAAAGAGTATTAATAACACTTTCCTAACACGGCAGTTAGCCATTTTATATTTCCTTTCTTTAATCTTAGTGTTTTTCAACAAATCATGGGATTTAATAGCGTGTTTTGGCAGATTAGAGGATTTATGGCCCAGATGTTTTTTGTTCTAAAAATGGATTAGGGTGTAAAGTTTGCTGGAATCCATGGAACATGTTGAGGCAAGCCGGTCATTTTATGTGTGATTAGTGCCTGCCTTCTGTCTCACAGTCCCTCCATCTGTCACAATTCACCAATGGATCTGGGTAGATTTAGCCTCATGTCACAAACAAGTCCCTTTTCTGGGCAATTTCATATTACAGATTCATTTTATGCCATTTTATGCCCCAGTTAAAAGATAGGGAGAGAGAAAGATGAGACATTAGCTTTCCTTTGAATATTTGCAAAAGACTCATTTCCTGTTAGTTTTCTACCCTAGGGTTATGCAGACCATCATGATAATGTGCACTAAATAGATAAATGGCCAGTGGGAAGGTTAACATTAAATACCAAATTAATTTTACTCCTTGGACCTGTTACTCTTTAAAAAAAGAAGTATTTTGGTAATGGGTTTTACTCACTCTGGCTTGTGGGGCTGCAGACACAAGGTGGTCACGTGACCATGTTGTGAAGCGTGTGAATTAAGTGTGACTGTAGTTAACAGTAGTCGCAAGTTCTTGTCAAACAATTACAGGTGCTTGGCTATATTCTGTGCTTAAAATTTAGCCTCTCAACTATTACAAGTTTATATCCATAGCAAACCACTGCCACCTGTGGTTTATTTCACCAGAAATGGATTTAGGGAGAAAATGTTCTTTTTTCAGTCAGTTAATAGTAATTTGTTCTTTCTGTAAAAATAACAAACCTAGTAGTGTTGTACACAGTTGATTGTTGTACTATTTTGAGAGATTCAGTAATTATAGTGATAATTAGCAATACCTAGATCCTATGTTAACATTCAGAAGTTCTTTGCCTGGGGGAGGGGGGGGAAACCTAAGGATAGTTTTTATTTCTGCACTACGGAATATTCAGATGGGAACTAAAAGGTTTACATACAAATTAAACGTTAAGCTTCTTCCCAAATATTTAGAATCAACCATATTTCACTTAAACATTATGCCTTTGTTACAGATGTTTGGCGTCCAGTTCATGTCTGACTCTAAATTGGCATTATCAATTATTCATTCATTTCTTTTAGACAAATTCCATGGAGAAATTACTGCATGGTAGATCCTAGCCATTACCCAAAACAGAAGTGATTGTTGTGGTTAAAGATTAGCCTCTCCATGCATCTGTACAGAACATATCCTTGAATCTGTCCCATTTCCAGGTTATTTAAATGACCATGATGCTGTCACCAAGGCTATCCAAGAGGCTCGGCAGATGAAGGAGCAACTTCGGCGGGAACAGCAGGTGCTTGATGGGAAAGTGGCTGTTGTGAATAGCTTGGGTCTCAATAACTGCCGAGCAGAAAAGGTTAGTTCATCAAATAATCTACCTTCCAGGAACACTGAATTAAATTGCCTGAATGCTTTTCTTTGTATCTTCTCATCTTCTTAAGGACGACGGTTCTCCCTCCCTCTGTGCCCTCTGTCAACACAGAAGTCCTCATGTCTATGATAATCAAAACCATCTGGAAATGAGAAGACTTCTAATTCTCTTGCCCATCTCCAAACCTTATTGACAATTAATATCCCTCTTTATGCCTCCGGTTTGTATTAAAATGAAATGGCACTTGAAACCTCCGTGAGTGAAAGTTTCGCTTTACCGAGATGCTTAACTTGTATTTGGGGATGAGCTGGATTTGAAACTGCTGAATCTTCTTTAATCAGCATAAGCTTGGATGATACCCATGCTCATATTCTAAGTATTTAGGAAGCTGAGCCTGTCATAATATGTTTCCAATGCAAAAGAGCACTGTCAAGTGTTTGGTGACTGCACAATTGGAAAATTCGACTTGATCATGAAACTATCTTTTGAAAACTTTGACGTTATGTGTTACACCGAAAGCTGGGAAAACTTGTGAATTTGTCCGAGATGTAATTATTTCAAGGTGCTTTGTCTAAGCATACATTGTTTTTTGTTCAGAAAAATATGAGTTTTTATGGAATGCTCAGAATGATGTACTGCTCTTGGTGATGTTTGATACGTTTCAAATGGCAATGTTCAGTGTCACGAAACCCCTTTATACAATCATATTTACAAGGATATAAAGTAGACAAGACAGAAAAATGGGCCACTTAGTAATAACTTGAAAGCTAATTATCACTGGACGCTTATGAGTCCAATAGAATTGTCCAAAATCAGCAGATTGCTAATTTGGATGGCTTTCTGGTGTCCTGGGTTTTCTAGGGGACTGGATGTATCATCCGAGTGAAGCATAATGCAGGTGAAATGTTGAGGGGGTGGGGTCCTGTCACAACCACTTTTTCTCTGTTCCTAACACGGTGACAAACTTAGGATGGAGAAACAGTATCAATTCTGTTTGGTCTCCAGAGGGGAGAGCGAAGCGTGGGTCAGGATACATCCAGTGCAGTCCTAGCACATAAGAAGTGAGACATCCATGCTCTGAGCAGGGCACAACATTTGTATAGCTAAGCACCAGAAGGGAAGGGGAGAAGCAAAGTGACAGCTCTAAGAAGGAATGATAGCAAGCATAAAGGAATTTATATTCAAATATTTAAACAATCTTGAAAGGATGCTTGAACAGAAATTCCTTTTCTGTGCTCCCCATGTAGAAATGAGTTTAACACTCAGCCAGATGCTAATGCAAAGTGACTCAAGCTATTCCTCGCAAGCATAGCTAAATTGCCGTTATTTGTTAAGCGCATTGAATTCAGCTGTGGATACAGCAGTTGGTTGCATTCAGCAAGCATCTGTACTCTCTCTCTCTCTCTTTTTTTAATCCTCCAAAGCAGAGACAACTCTACCTATCTCCCCCCTTCTCCTCCCCTGTGCTGGCTGGGAATTGTCAAGTGACAACCGACCAAATCCTTTTGGACAGGAAGCCTTCATCCTGAGTTCTATATACTTGCAAAACAGGCCTTGTGGTTGGATCAGGGAGCCCATTAAAAGCACTTTGATGGTATGGAAATTCATCTTCATGAAGCTCCTAGGCCCCTAAGCAGCATGCTGTTTAGCTGTGGTTACAGATCAGTCATTCACATCGGAGGGCAATAATTGTGCTGACGGCTTGTAAGGCAATGGAAGTACATAGAATAATCCTGGGCCCTCCACCATGGCACTCTGAGTTAATCTTCCCTAATACAGATCAGCTGTTGTTCTAACACATGACTGGGCTGGCTCCAGTGACTCTGCACAGCCTTTTGAATAAGTAACAGGAGTGGAGCCATCTGCATTCACTGTATTCTGTACTCGCCCATTGTTTGGAGACCTTATCTCCTTGTCTTGTTCCACCTCCACTTCGTACTTTATTTCTCTGATTAGCACCTGCTGTTTGGGTTGGAGGAGTGACAGTTGCCTCTGTTGGTAGCTGTTGCTTCTCTTTTTTCTTTCGCTTTTAAAAAAAAAAATCTCTCTTTGGAGTAATACCTGCCAAAGCCTGTCGGCCAATTAAGATGTCTCTATTCTCCAGAAGTTGATGCTTCCCGCATCTCTTCACCATGCACTTTCAGTGCAGTGGAGTTACATCTTGATATAGTCTCATATTTTTATGGGTTTTTAAGTGAAAATATTACATTCTGAAAATGAAGCAGATCCATTATTGTAACAGAATGACGGACTCCTAAGTAAACCTTCACACCTGAATGATCTGAAATAGCTCATCCCTTAGGGTATTAGTGGCACCTGAGAAAGAACAAGTCATTGACGCTTTGGAGCAGGTAGTAGTGTAGTTTGTGGTTGTCTTTTCCTGCTGAACTAGCTGGAGTCTCTGTGTATAAATCTCAGGAATGAGAAATGTCATGTTTGTATATTTTAGTCCACAGTTATTCAACAACGGCACCCACTATGGATTTAGGACTGTGCTGGGTCCTGGATTAGATAAAACCATATTAGAAAATGTGGCTGCTGCCTCTAAGTGACTTCAAGTGTAGAGCAAATTATTTCATATATCTGCATGTGTTAGCCCACCTGCAGGAGGTGAATAAAGGCCCCGTATATGTAGCATATCAGATCAGTTATTTACCTGAGTTGACAAAGTAGATATATCCACAAACAGTCTATGATAAGTTCCTCATCTGTCTTGGATATAATATCATTTGAACCCCAGAGGAAGGACATTTTTCTATCTAAAATAATACCCCTAACTCCCTAAACCCATAAAATATGTGGAATATTAAGGAGTGGGGAGAGAGAGAGCAGAAAGATGGAAAGAAACAGAATAAAAGAACAGGGAAAAATAATTAATGCAATGTGGTGCTTCCATGAGTCTAGAAGACAAGAGATACCATGATTTGGATGCAGGTAACTGGACTGCTGGAGTGGAGATCAGTTTTCTTGGGTACAGAAACCTCATGCACTTTAGCTTTCCTTTACCCCTCACAGAGCTAACAAGGTTGTCCCAACTAGAAGGTCTTCAATCTGAAAAGCTCTAATTGGACGGTTAAAACAATTAGAGGTGCGAAGATAGGGACAAATGTTTTTGCAGTGATATGTACCAAAAACACATCATGAAAGTCATTTTTACTGAAACACATTTTAATTGAAGACTTGTAAGAGATTTTTCACTTCTTTACTTTTCTTGGAAGTGTTTCAACATACCCAAGAACTGTGTGTGTCAGGTTTCTTGGAAACTCTGGGACAGTGTTATTTATAATTGTCATCTCTGGTTAATTATAGACTGATTGTATATTCAAATAACAGTATCTTTTGCCACATAGCTCTATTACAGATAACACATAGCACCAATCTTAGTGTTAGGGGTAGAGAAAGTAAGCCATTCAGGTGGGGAAACACGAACAGCAGACTGTCATCCATTTGTTTTGCGCAAGCACCCATTCTGCTTCATTAGCACCCAGATGGCATGATTTTGACCACAGAATCAACTGCATACCAGTGCTTGACATTGTGTGTGAAAGTATCCGTACCTCACAGGAGATGACAAAAATGTTGTTTTTTGTTGTCCTTACCCCACCAGGCAGAGTTAATACAGTAGAAACCGAGCATGTTCACCTGAAATGTGTGGGGGGGGGGGGGGAGAAGTCTCCTATGCACATGTAGTTATCCTAAGAAGACTGTGTCTATGCTACAGTGTTGTCTACATGCATTAGAAAATCTAAAAAAAAAAAAAAAAAGCCATCAGTTAACCAAGTAGTGATTAATTTTTATAACTTAGGCAAGTTCAGGAGTAGAATGTTGGTGGCATGAGTTCATTGGCTCAGTAATATCAAGAGTTGACATTTGTGACTGTCCTGATCTTTCTCTTTGGGTCACATAGTGGTTGCTACATCTGCAACTCTGCTGTCCACATGAAGGCATACAGACTCAGGTCGGAGGAGGACATTTCTCTCTGCGAAGTTCAGTCTGCGCTCACACAGGATTGTGTCATTCCCTCCTCCTTGGCTGGCTTCTGCAAACATGTTGGTGGCTACAACTGGGTCAGTCGTAGCTTGGAAAAAAAAGTACTGGACAAAAGAAGAAGAGATTGCTCTAGAATGAAAGAACTTCTGCTGTCTTCCCTGAAACTGAGGGATATCTTGAGATCAAAGGGGGTAAGAACAGGGAAGACAAGACAGACCAGAGTGGCTACTACTGGGTAGGGAAAGGTGATTCCCAACCACAGCTCCAATATAAAAAGGACATCAAAACTCTCACACATTTCTCTGGTGACACTGACTTGTTTGTTTCATGAATGCTGTCATCTGTCGACCTCTGCTCCTCTGCTGTTACCTCTCGAGGGCCTTAGGCTTTGTTTTGCTTATAAAGGGTTAAGTGAAGTATAGCATGTGCTTAGGAAACAGTGCTTGATGACAGGTCAGCCCTTTAATGTACATTCGCACACACGCTCTGTACATGTGAAGACGGACTTCTGCACTGCGTTGCCTTATGTAAAACAGATGCCACTCACACAACAAGAAGCATGCAAATGTATGTTTAAGGTAGAGAATTTATTCAGCAAACATGAATTGCCTACAGTGTATCTGGAATGTAAACGTTTACTTAGGCAATGCATGTATTTATAACTGCAAGCAATAACTGGAAAACTGTCCCTTCTGAGTTTCAGTGAGAAGCCCTTGGTAGGTTTCTACAGGATACATGAATATTTGGTGATCAGCACGTACATTTTAAATATAATTGACACAGTAATGTCAGCACTTTCTTGTTTGGGCTGTGTCATTCAGAGGTATTTTTTCTATGACAGGCAGAGTGGACGATGAGAGAGAGAGACAGAGAGAAAGGTCTTCCTTTTGCCGTTGGTTCACCCTCCAATGGCTGCCGCGGCCAGCGTGCTGCGGCCGGCGCACTGCGCTGATCCGATGGCAGGAGCCAGGTGCTTCTCCTGGTCTCCCATGGGG